CATTCAAAGATTCAAAGCATTCTACGGAGCTAATGCCAGAGAAGGAACTCAAGAGTGCCGCAGCTTATTTTAGCCTTACAAGCGTCCACTAGTAAAAACCGGATCAGAAGAGATGCGAGGTGGCTCGGCCTACTTATATCCAGTTTTTGCTTTCTGCTTCTTAGAGTACCTGTCAATAGCCTAGTACATGATTGTTTCTCGATACCTATTTTCCTACATTTGCAAATTTCATATAAATTGAACTACTACATAAACCAAATGTTTGTTTCGAGGGTCTGCTAAAGGGAAGAAATATTCAATTGTGACTGTGGCAAATAATATTATTCTATCTACTCATTTTCCGTCACCAGTTCTTACATGTGCAAGATGACGTGTGACACCAATCTTAAAGTAAACTGGAACAAACTTGTTGATACAGAAAAACTTTGGGATCACCAAAGTATATGTAGAACACTGTCAGATAGGAAGGTAGGTGACATTAATGTAACAAAACTGGAAAGAACTATTTTGGAATATTCAGAAACAATAAAACGAAAAGGAAAAGACATAAATGAATAACAGTATTCAGTTATTATGGCAGAAGAATAATGTAGCAGGTCAGAGGGAATAGGATAGTAGAGCTCATATATGCAAAGCAAATGGCATGCACGCTTTGTATCTTAAATTAGACTTCAACCATTAAGCTAATAACAATCACAGAGAATGTCCTATAATCTTTTCTAGCATGATTCATACAATTACTATATTGACAGATTGACAGTGATAAACCTGAAAATGTATCTAATTTACAAAACCTATCTCCTTAACAAAAGAATGGTGATAATTAGCTAAAACTAAGTTTCATCTACTGAATAGTGCTACTCTTTCTTGTCAATTGCATAAATCATATATGAATAAGCTTGTGGTATAATTTCAGGAAATACAAACTTGCCAAGGATTTGGTTCACAACAGCCTTGTGTTGTACGAACCGCAATACAGGCACTTGTGGTAAAGCTAGGGAAAAGAGGCAGTTCCTCTTTTCACGCAGTCGTTGCATAATATAATCTGCATATCCATTGTACTTACAATTTTGAATAATTTGGAACATAGCTAAAGATCACAAATAATGTTGCGTAGATAGCACATAGTACCTGAGTCTGGCCAGCGTGCTCCTCTGGAGTTTTCTCTTCAGCTAACAAAGCATCCAAGTATCTAACATTCTGAAGTACACCTGAATAGGTGAAAGTTTTATACTTATTTTTCTTTAAGCCATGAGC